TAACAGAAGATTAATAGATTGAGTGAACAAGAGTTGTATTCCTAGTTCTTAGAGCTTCTAGCTTGATTTCATAATTATTTATGCCTTAGTTTCTCAATCTACAAATGATGTCTTCCTTCATGTTTTAAAAGATAGCTCTGAGGTGTTATTTATTTTTATTTTTATTTTTGCATAGAAGAACTGGGGTATAGGCCAGGGATGAGAGGATTCACCAAAGACAGAGTGGGGGGATGAACAGGTAGATTTATTGAAATTCACTGCTGAGGGGAACAGCAAGAGAGACAGGAGAAGTCTGCTATGCCCTGTGGGTTAGCTCCCTGGCCTGGAACTGATCTCAGGCCATAGCTGTGATAGTGCTGAGTTAACCCCTAAGCCACCAGGGAGGCCCACTCTGAGGTGTTATCTAGAAAAAAAAGTGAAGGGGGAAGAATAAAGATGTAAAGTTTGAGACAATGGTTTTCTGGCAATGCAGAAAAGCTGATTTGTACTCACCAAAATTTTAATTTTGGCAGTATGAACTCTACATGCCTGACTGTATCCCGTTTGAATTCCCTAGCTGTCTGTCATGTGCCACTTAGAGTACCAGCTGAGAAATTGGCATAGAACATACTAAGATAAAAGTGAGAGATAAAAAAGAGGGACAGAAGTTTGAATGATTGTAACAATAACAAATCAGTATAATGTTCACATGTCAGGGACATGTTTTCCTATGTATCTTTGTAATATAGGCAAATACAGTCAGTACTAAAATGTAATGAAGTTATATGGTGGGGGGGAAGAGGAGAAGATGTTATCTTAGAATGCAATGAAATATTGATACAAAAAAAGTCAAATGGCATAACTAGAAAAATAAGGAAGATTCAGTGTAACTGAGAGGGTGGGAAGAGAGAGGAAGGGAGTAACTGATCTGGGTATCACACAGGAGTGAAGAGAAACAGTTTATGTGCAGAAAGGAGAGGCAGACAGCACCTGTTGCATGTTAGGCAGGAGTTCATTCTAGAGAAGCCAAACTGTTTTCAAGAGCAAGCTTAACAGTGTACAAAGGACCAAAGTAAAAGGAACAAGACCACCACTCTGGAAAATTTAATAAGAAAGAAATAAAAAGGTGAAAAGAAAATTCAATTTTAGTAGTATGAAGTTGACATGTGTGACCAGTGTTCCCACCTGAAGTGCTCACCTAACTGTCAGATGTCAGTTAAGCCACCTGAGTTAGTGTCCAGCTCTAACTCTCTGAAACAGGGAAAGATGAGAGGAAAAATCAGCACAGTATGGCTTTAAATTCTGGCAAACAGGACACTACTCTGTTTTTAACTAATTTGGACTTCAAACCTGTCAGAGTTTTATGAATTTAAATTAAAGAATTTCCCTAACTCAAAATATCTGCGTGTCCTTATCAGTAAATTTATAAAATCACTTGGCTCAAATTGGGTATCTTTCCATTTCTTCCAGTTTTTAATGTCTTAGGCTTTAATTAAGTATGGCTAGAACGACAAAAGTTCTTTTAAAATAACTCTGAAATACCCTCGAGTGGAGTTTTAAGGAATTAGAAAAATCTAGTAGGCCTAAAATGAATATTGCTTTTAAACTGAAGGGAGGCAATCCTTTGGTATATTCAATTAGGTATGTTGAGCTTTATTAAATGGTCTTGAATCACATCATCACTGGGGTGACAATAGATAAAACAAAGCAAAATAAATGGGGCCTAAGATGAAAATATGAACACATTCTTGAATGCAAGAGTCTGTTGTCAAGCAGGTTCTCCCATCCAGGAATATATTTTCTTTCAAGATGACACTGTAGTTTCCTGACTATAATTTAATTAATCAGCCCTTTTATAGTAATCATAATTTGCAATCTCCCAGAATTAGTTCTTCCCATATAGAACAGGGCAAGAAAAATTTAAAAGCCCAGACAAAAAGTCCACAAAATAATGGTTCAAGTATAATGTGAATCTATGAAAAAATGAAACATATAATCATGGCTGTGTCACAATTGTTGTAGTAGGAACCCACTAACCACACAGAGAAAAATATTAGAATAAATATATAGGTATATATAGATGAATGTATATAAACACATACACATTATGTGTATTATACACATAGATGTTTTAAAATTCCAGGCGTAGATTTAAAAGCTATATATATATATATATATATATATTATATATATATAATATATATATGCATAGGTTAATATAGTAAAAACTCGAAATTACATTGCCTTATAAAAAACATACCCATTTTAGGACATCTGACATAGCCACTATACCTACAGACAACTTAAAATGTTTTATTTTGCCTTCTATTATAATAAAGGTGAAGAATGTTTTAACTTTAAAAGCATCAGTGAAGGAGTCATTCCAGTAGTTATAGAATAAAACCCTGATACTACTAAGTAGATGGGTTTGGGGAGTAACACAGCAGACACAATTACTGGGATTGTCTCTCTTCCACTCTCTGCAGGCTCCAGAATAAAGAAGAATCAATTAGCCCTCAACAGAGTATGACCTTGAAGGCTACTGCTCTGTGCATAATATGCTGAATATGCTGAGACAGAGAGAAAAGGAAGAATAAAGTCCTGAAGCCACTGAAGAGCATGTTTCAGATATGATAATGTCCTTTTAAAATATGTCACTTTAGCTTAGCTCATGACAAAATCCAAAAACATACACGATGAAAGGACAGCTCTGGTTCTTTCTGTGACTAAGCAACATTTTCTTAGTTGAAGAAAAAAAAAAGTGAAAGAACATAATTTAAAATTTTTTAATTTATTTGATATCCTTCATTTCATAGCTATAAGCTTTTTTGAACAAAAACAACCACTTATGAGTGTCTGAAAGCAAAGCTCTCTGGACCAGTCCCTCTCTAAAATTAACAAAGGGAGTCCTGCTCAGGACCCTCTCCTGGTGGTAAAGTGTTAACCAAGTGTCTACCCCTAACTTTTCAGGAGAAAGCCACTTCCCAGACTGCTTTTCCAGGCTTATCTCCAGCGCACTCAGAAGCTGCAGCTGTGTGTCTGGCCAGAACTGGCCAGTAGCAATGCTTTTAGGCAGCCGTAAATCTTGTTCACTCAATGCAAATGCCACAAAAATCAATGCCCTGGCTAGGAAAAAAGACAAGAAAAGAAAAACGATATGGATCGTATCATCTATTACAATACGTAGAAGAATTTACCTTAAACAATAATCTCTCAAAATATCACAAGATACTCTTTGACATGGTCCTACACCAGAACATGTCTTGTTTTCCTCAGATGAGCAAAATTATAGAATTTAGTTGAAGAGTTTTTCAAAGGGTCTCCTACCTTTTTCTGGACAAACAAATCTACCCAGGCACATTTTAATTAGAGAATTAAGTTTAAAATGATAAAGACAAAGTAACCTTGTCTTCATGGTGAATTTTGCTTCTCTTTGCAGGATCTGTACTTGCTTTTTATAGCCTGTCATTTCATCTGGGTATTATTTCCCGGTCACTTTGCCAGGTGGGAAGAGGCAGCCAATGCAGTGATGTCTGTCAGATCTTTAATGATGCTTCAGGGATTTGATAAAGATACAAAGCAGTGTCTGCAGAAAGGAGGTTATTCCCTAATTACACCTGAAAAACAAGCCTCTCTTTTTAAAAAATCTTTGCCACTAAAACTGGTGTGTATGAAATGATACTGAATCACAAACACACATGAACTTTTTCTGGGTTTCTTTCTATAATACACGACTCTGCCTTATATCAAACATAATGTCTGGAAAAGATAGTCTTTATTCTTCATTACCAGGAAAACAGAAACAGTATTTCATCACAGAATTGCTTCCCCTGGATGTGCCCTTAATTTTAAGAGATTTTAAATATTATTAAGTAACAAATTCTCTGATATTTTACTTTTTTTCTAAGGAAATAGTCATCAATGGCAAAAAGTAAGTGACGACAGAGAGAAGAATAAATTAGAAACATGTTCTTTTAAAAAGCTAGCAAAAACTCTTCCCTTCTATATGGATGTTTAGAATAATCTGGGTCTGACCTGTAATGGTTTCATCCTTGTCCACTTTCCTTTATAAAGCACTGATGACCCAGTCCACACAGCGCTACATTGTTCTGTATTGTTTTAAGAGCGTGGGCACTCCTACCTCACAGGTTATTAAACTGGGCTGCTGCAGTCTGACGGGCAAAAATGACACATGTCTTTAAAAAACGATGTACCTCACTAATGGATCATGTACTTTTTAATGACTGCCAAAGAAACTATTTAAGCATTTGATTATAGTAGACAAGACTCATTTGGGAAAAGCCTTTCATGCGAAATTGTACCGTGTCCTGACCAAAATAAAGCTGCTCCTCCTAAGTCTCAGTACCCGATACTACAATCTGGGCAGGACAGCAAGAGTCAGTTGCTAATGAGAGATGAGCACTGTGACTGCCTCAAGACTTGATGCAGTATCAGGAAAAATCAATTAAAATACAAATGTGGGGAGAAGGGGGTGAAAGTGCAGGGAAAAAAGGATAGCAGGCAGATCGGGGCTGCTGGAAGGCGGAGGGTAACAAAAAGGGGAGAGAGATGACAGGCAGTCTACCACGGGTAAGAGAAAGACACAAAATCACATTCATTGCTATATGGAGTCACATTTATAACAGAAAAAATAAAGGCTGATCTGATGTTTTATTTTTTAAAAGTGTTAGAAATAACTGGATTTAACTTAAATTCAAGAATGACTCACAGAAGCTAAAGTTTTGAGTCTCCCACCTCTGACTTAACGATCTGGCTAGAGGGAGCTGCTGTTAGGACACTGATTCATACCAGCAGTTTACAAGATCTTTTTACTCATCTCTTCGATGCCACCCTGCGCATCCCAGTCACGTGATAAGCTTCAACAAAACCATGCAATTAAAATGCAAGCAGGAAAGGAAACCCTTCGTGCTCTAGAGAACATCTTTTAGGACCTCAAGCCCACCCCTTTTCCTTATCATCAACATTTCTCTCTCTCTCTCTCTCTCTCTCTCTCTACTTACAAAGTTTAGGAGCAGTTTGGAGATTAGTTTCTGTTGTTTGTGGCTGAGTTGCTGACTTGGGTGTTCTCACCTCAGGGTTCCGAGTAGGTGAAGGGAAGGATGGTGCAGTGGATGGCAAAAAAGAAAAAGCAAAAACACGATTCTTCGGGGTTGGTGGTACTGAAGGTTCAGAGGACACAACAGAATTGTCAACTTGCACTGTAACTTGAACCTCAGTTTCAGATTGAGCCCTAGAGACAGGTGAAGTGTGTGCCTCAGATGATACCCACACAGCTGAGGCAGCAGTTGGATCAAGAGAAATAACAGGGTCCTGGCCTAACCCCCCAGGGTCAAGGTGAGTAGGAGAGTCATACTCAAATATCTTGTCCACAAATACCCACTTGAGGCCGGCAATGCAGAGGCAGAGGCTGACCAGACAGGCCAGAATGGGGACAATGCAGATTTTCTCCGAGTTGAGGCAACCTCTCAGGCGCTCTGCTTCCAGGCACACACAGCAGGGAGCCGCCAGGCCCACAAGTCCAGGGGTTCTCCCATCTTCAGTCTGGGTTTCTGGCATGTCTTCTGCCACTGGAAGCCCATCAAGAGATGGGTCTGTACTCAGCTGAGTGGAGGGGCTGGAGGACCTCTCCGCAGCTCCCTCAGACATGTCTGGGGAATAGATCTCCATCGGCTCACCTCCAGAAGGCCTGGCCTCTCTCACGGTCCATTACCATGCAGAGCCCCCCCCAACCAAATGATACAGCATCTTACAGGGGGAAATCGATAAGTCATCCAAGTCCAAGGCCATTATCAAAAGCAAGAGGAGTTCAGGAAGAAGGCAGGAAAAAACGCCTCTAGCAACTACCAAAAAAAAAAAAAAAAGTATATTGTAATTCTTTACTGTTGTTTCTGGGCCACTTTTGCAGTTCTTTTAAATGCTTCTCCAAACCATCCCGGCTGGTCAAGAGGATGGGGCCAAAATAGAAGCCGAGCTGACTGATGGTGGATTAAGTAAACCAGTAGCCCAAACTGAAAGGCATGTTTCTCACCTCTAGCATCTGAAGCTGCTGTCTGCTTAGATGAAGAAAACAACTGTCATGCAGGAGAAGTAAAAGCAAAAGCAGGACCAGCGGCGGCGGCGGCAGCAGCAGTGGCGGCGGGAGTAGAGGCAGCAGTGACAGTAGCAACAGCATCCTGTTGTGTTAACGCGACGGCTGAAAGAGGCTGAATCATTACAGAGCAGCAGGTGCCTGCCCTCCGAGCATCACTGCAAACAGTACCATCACAGAGGGGATCTGAAGGCAAGAGTGCAGCCAAGAGGGGCGGTGACTCCCCTCCCTGCCCTGCCTCCACCCCCACCCCCAACCACTCCTCTTTGTCCTTCTTGAGCGCTCATTGACTTTCTTCCTCTGCAGCTCTTGGCTTCTTCACAGTCTTTCTTTCCACTCCTCATCCAAAGATATCTCTCTCTCTCTCTCTCTCTCTCTCTCTCTCTCTCTCTCTCTCTCTCACTCTCTCTCTCTCTTCCCTTCCCCAACTCCCAACCCCCACTATAGCCACACTCTAGAGCTGCCGGCTGGTCTGAGTAAAATCAGTATACCCAGCATCACAGGACTGCCAGTGACTTCCTATTTTATCCAATTAGAAGGAATAAAGGCCATCAAATCAAAGAGAAGCAGGCAGACACCAGTTAAGCTTAGTCCTCATGGCCCCCACCCCCTTCTTCCCTTTCTCTTTTTCTTTCTGAAAAAGCTGCCTGAGTTTTCCACCCCCACCTTGCTTGTTTTTAGTCTTGCTGGCTCTCTTTTCCTTCACCCACTGTTGGGTCAGAAAAAGCCAGCGATCGATGCTAGCAATCTAACAAAGCTGGGATGGGGCGGGGGAGGTAGGTGGGACCTTATGGGTTGGACCTGAGGCTTGGCAAAGTCTGATATCTGATTCCTCCCTGGAGAGGTAAGCTTTTCAACAGCAATTTCTCCCTGCCTGCTGCTGAGAGATAGCATTCCTGCCTTAGACCTCTAATAAGTTTGACTCACCAAGAGGACTGTTATTACCTGATTTTCAACCAAGAGAATATTTTTTCTAACCATGGACAGCTCTGCCTTCAGCCTTTTTTGCAAGAAGTGGGTAAGACATTGTAATGCCCAGTGCCAAGTGCTGAGTGGATGCTGGAGGAGTGGGGGTGGTGTGGGGAGGGGACAGAGGTTCATATTCCCCATTCTGGTCTCCTTTAAATTTCCATTCCCCCACCCACCCACAGCAGTCCTAGACTGAGGTCAAGCTAATAAGAAAAACTGGTAAGAAACAGAGCTACGAGATGAGCCAAGGTACTAGTTCTTCATTATGAAATTAGCCTTCATGGTGACTCCACACTGCGGAGGCTGAATTCCCCGGACGCTGTAATATATACCACATGTCCTCAGCTATAACCGCACTGCAAGTATTAAAAAGAGTTTTGTATAGAGCTTGCCTTTTGGGTTAGGTTTCAGTAGCTTTACCTTACAGATCCTTTGAATGCTGATTTTTCCCCTCTTCAGCAGTCTTTAAAATACCGGAATAAAGGCACTGTCCTTAATAAGGAGCACGGACTCCCCTGAACCTCCAGTTCACTGCATTTTAGCACACAGTGCAGGCACCTGAACCCTTAATCCATGCTTTACTGTGACTGGACACCCAAATGGTATCCAAGGAACCATTTTGTTCACCTGTGTCAATGGGAGTCTTAAAAACTCTTTAAATCTACACTGCATGCCATTATATGAATTCCAGAAGCAATAAAATTCAGAGTTTGTCATGAGAAAATCTGTCGTAATCATATTATGTTCTGTAAAGCACAATTTCCACTGTTTTGAAATATTTTTAAGCTTTATGTGTGCATGAGATAAGAATATCATTTTCTACAAAATGAAATTAGTCTATAATTATAAGTGTGCAAACAGTATTGCTACCTTAAAATGTAACAAAAGAACCTTACAAATTCTAAACCAGTTTGCATAATTTTAATTATGATTTTGAAAAGGTTGTGACAAAGTGAGTTATCCTTAATTTCACCTCTCTAATCCTGCACTTGCACACTGGGAACTAGAATTTTAAAATGATTCCTACGCCTACTTCCTAGCATTAACTATTTGTTTATAAAGCTGTGAGAGTTTTCTTAAAGATTCTAGGAATAGACATGAAATTTCATATTGTAGAAAATCTATACTGAAGCATTTACAATATCCAAACTGAGAGATATTATGATTTTAATAATCAACATGTTTAAATATTAAAAAAAAACAAGGTCAGCAAGTAAATATGCCAAATGAAGTGAATTTATAATGTCTTCAAAGGTTACCCAGTTTAAATATGTAGCACTTAACACCTCAATTCTGCACTCAAATGTAATAAATTGGCATTTTGTTCAAGACCAAGGTCATGAAAATTTCAAAACCAAAATGGGCTTCAGGTAACTGTATGTCAGGCAGGTATAGTTAGGAAAAGTGATCCTTAACCTGCACCAATAAGAACCACTCACTTCACTTTAGTCATTAATAAGAATCATATTAAGTAGACAAAGAAATTACTGGACACTGCACTGTCATATTAGATTCTAACACTTACAAAGGAAAGCAATATATAACACAAAGACTAGGACAAACACATCAGAGACAGAATCCTTTGGGCTGCTACAGTTTTCTTTCTCCTGGACTACACAAATCAGAGTGGTTGTGTATGCGCTATGCCTGGAGATGTATTCCATGAATCCTGGGGCATGATGTTGCTAAGGTCACCTTGCAAAGAGCATTCTATGAAGTTTTTCCCACCAAAATGGAAGGCAGAAGTAATTGCAGAAAGGGAGTAGAATACGAAGTATATACAAGGAATTCTACCCTTGGGACTATGAGTCAGAAGTAGCCTTTGTCCCCTCATCAAATTCTCTAAAGCAATCAAGAAACGAAGAAGGGTAGTGTGACTGCCTCTATGTAAGGAAATTAGCAAGGACATATCACTTTAACCCTTTAGATTCCAACCCCCAAATCCCAGAAACACCCATATTACCATTTCCTATAAAATATGTAAAAGATACTTTTTTATTATCTTTTCAGAACCATACTACTACTCCCTTCATTATAATAAAAGCTTCAACTATGTGCCAAGCACTAAGCTAGTTGTTAACACATCATTTCACATCTTCACTGATCCTTTACAGTATGTATTATCTTGAAAATGAAAAAAAAAAAAAAAAAACAGATTTGGGCAACTTAGGCAGCTTAGCCATGTACACACAGCCATTAAGCACAGGCTCAAGTTTTCAACACAGGTCTGACGTGCTATTTCTACTAATAAACACTGCTGCTCTTTTTTCACCAAAAGAATGCATCTGATTATGTACTGTATACCTGTCACTTCAGTAGGAGAATAAGTGGACCAGAAAGTGTAAAAATGAAATAGGCATTAATGAAATTGGTAAACAAACTAAAAGTTGCCTAGTTTCTAAAATAAAAGAACTTACAAAATTTTGCCTAGTGATTTTCAGGAGTTATAAAAATCATACAGAAGCCATTTACATATTATCTACTTATAGTTTAGTGTCCCAGTTCCAGGATTTTCTTTGGGAAGCTATTTCAGTTATGCATTGAAACAAATTGCCTTAAAATAGCTTAAAATGTAACCATTGTATTATATCTCACTAGTGCAGGATTACTGGGTTCAGCTGAGTGGTTCATCTGCTCCATTTGGTATTAGCTGGGGCTGCAATCAGCTGGAGTGCAACTGGGCTGAAACAGCCAAGATGGCTCACACACATGACTGTTCATCCCAGATGTCAGCTGGGAACTATGCTGGGTGGGGCTGGTGCACCAACATGTATGTGACCTGCCCATGTGGCTGGGCTTTTTACAGCATGGCGTCTGAGTTTTGAGAGCAGGCATCTCAAGAGGGAGGACACAGAAGCTGTCAGTTTTCCTAAAGACTGACACTGCAAACCACAAATTGTTTGCACAGCATCCTATTGGTTAAGCAGTCACAGTGCCCACTGAGATTCAAGGACAGGGGAAATTAATCTTAATGCAGGGAATGACAAAGAATTTGCAGCCACAATTAATCCATCACAGAATGTAAGGAAGTAAATGCCAGTAACTCAACCAGGGTCAAGAGGAGACACAGCAATATACAATGGACTTTGGCAGAACAAAGTCAGAATACACTTGTGTTTCTGATCCACTTTAATAATAGTCTAGCTTCCTTTTAAACTAGTGTCAATGAAGAAAAAAAATCCTGTTACAGCACCCAATAAAAAAATACACAAATTCATCTGATATTTTGATACAAGGTAGGTTTTTAGCTTTGTATTAACTTTATTTATTTTATTATGAGAAGTATTTAGCATAGCTCCAGCAAATGAAAAAGGATGGTAAATGTCATTTTGATTTTGACCATATTACCCAGATTTACTTTTTCTTTTACATTTTTTTCTATATTTTGGCTATTTTACTTTGAAAACATTATCCATCAAATAGTTTATCCTGGATCCTAAAGTTTATGACTGAAAAAGTAGAATTTATGTTTTCATCTAATACTGTTGTTTTTTCATCTAATTTACTGTTGCTATCTAATACCATGATGACAGCAGTAATTTGATTTTTGGATTACGATCTTTGGAGATGACAATGTATAAATGATAATGATTTATTTCCTAATGAATTCTGACATCATGGATTTTTCAAAAGAAAGCTTCAGGGTTAAATTACCTAAAAGCAATGCTCCCTCCCAGGAGAAGGAGCTCCTTCCCTCCGAAGAACCTGCTCACTACTTCCCACCTAAATAAAAACTGTCCTGGCTCAAGTCTCAGCTCTTCCACGGGATTGTCATGCTTCCAAGTCACTCACCCAGCAATTCTTAATTAGACCATTACTGGAACACATCTCCACAATGTTGTTATTATTTAATTATATCATGTATGTGGTACTGTGAAGAATACAATTTCTTTGAAGGTCAGGTCTAACAGTATCTCCCTGCCCCAACCCTAAAGCTGTAGTATTCAGCCAACACTTACATTTCTTTTGGTTTTATTTTCAATTGAAATTGAATTACACAGATTATGGTATTTTTAATGAATTAACAGACTTTTTCATACCCATCTATCTAAAACAGCCTCTCTGTTCCCTTTCATTTTTTTCAATTATTTAATATCCAGTTTAGATATATCCTTATTAATTTTTCTGATTATTCACAAATGTACCTTACTTATATGAATTTACCTTGTTCTTGTAAAGTTCTGTGACCCTACTGTATCTAACTTTTAACCACCACCAATTATTTCAGGAATGGAAAATTTGGAATAAACCAATATTTAACTTTTTTAATTTTTAATTTTTTTATTTTTTCATAGGGGGTTAGGTCAGAGGTGTAGGGGGTATGAGGATTCACCAGAGACAGCATGGGAAGAAGAACAGGTAGATCTACTGAAATACACTGCTAAGG